CGGGGCCGCCGGAGCCGCTCCGCGGGGCTCCTCTACCTGCCTGCGGAAGGGCCCGCTCAAGGTCACCTTCTCCAGACGCTGCCGGCAGAGGAGGGGAGCGCGAGACAGCCCGAAGGAAGGAGCGGCGAGCGCCTCCCTCCAAAGCTATTAAGGAAGTTGGTCTTTTTCATTAATCACAAGCTCCCCGAGGATGCTGCAGCAGCCGGGGTCTAAAGGTGCGTCGGCAGCCGCGTCCTGCGATGATTTGGTTGATTGGAACAAAATTAAAGTGTTCTTCTAGAAAGGCTGCTGCGGCGCGGACGCGCGGGCAGACGGAGCCTTTCGCCAGGACCGCTCTGGGCTGTCTCCTTTGCTGTCTGCTCGTGGCAAGTGCACGTCCTCGGGGGAGATTAGGAACGCTAATTAGCCACTCTGCATATGAACGAGCTGCGCTGATCTCCATCCCAGCCATCTTCTCCCTGGCAACGCGGCGGGGAAGGAGCTGGCTGCGCCACCTCGGCATCCCGTCCAGCACCAGGGCTGCCGGGAACGCAGCCGGGCTCTCCCGGCAGGAACCGGGACGTTCCCAGCTGAAGAAGAGCTCTTGTGCAGCAGCCCCAAGACTCCAGCCCAGCCTTCACCCCTGATAGCAAAAGCAGGAAACTCAGAAGACAGGAGGAAAGGAAAGAAGAAACCAAGGGGCATCGTGACCAGAAGATGTTCTCCGTCCCCCGGCGCTCCCGCCTGCAGCCGCCGCGTGCGATGGGGACAGTGCAGCCGGGCCCGGCGGTCACGGCCGGGGGCGACAGCGGCCCCCGCCGGCCCTGGCCACTTTTTTTGCGCCGGCTGCCGGAGCCTCTCGCCGGTGCCGCTTCCTGCGTGAGCTCCGCGCTCCTGCGCACGCTCCGCGGGGAGCCGGAGCCCGTGCAGAGCGGACGCCCGTGCCCTTCACAGAAAGTCATTCCCTTTTTCCATCAGACGCCGCTTAATGGAGTAGCGGCTGCCTGGGAGGCAGAGCGAGAGGAGGGGGCCATGGTCGGGCACCACGCATGGAGCGCGTCGCGCTCACCCCTCCAAAGGTGGCACCATTGGAGGTAGCTTCACTTTTCAATTCCCTTGATGTAGGAGATAGACCCTTTTTTTATTCTTTTGCCTCAGAAGGGAACTTTTCCAGCAGGCGTTCATCTCCGAGGTGGTTCCTGCGTGCGTTGTGCACCCGGGGCAGATGCTCTTTGCCCTGTGCTCCTGGTTGCCACCGGTTCTCCTGTCACCGTCGCAGGCAGCTGCCTTGGAAACACCCTGAGCTGTGGCTGGGCTGTGTGGGGCTGTCCCTGGGGGAAGGTCAGAGCGTCTTTCATGGAGAAGCCCCCGGAGCGCTCGCTCCGAGGTGCCTCGGGGCCGCGCGCGGCTCTAGGACTGGGCCCTCACAGTTGAGGTTTGGGCTGCGTCTGCCAGCCCAGCACACACACAGTGCTCACGGATCAGCCGCGGGGTTGGCACCTCTCAGCCGCTGTCCTGCAGCAGGACTTGAAAGTTAAAGGATGTCCCCACGGATGGGCCCTCCCTCCCTGCGGGGCGGGCGTCACCCGGCACGGGGACTGGTCCGTATGGATGCTGGCGGCTGGAGACCACGTTGCAGTGCCCTTGGATAAGCCGTACGGACCAGGGAGGCAGAGGCACATCCCGTGTCTTCCCCTCCCATCCGGCGCTGCCGGGAGCCTCCCGGGCACGGAGCAGGAGCGCTGCTGAGGGCGGCATCGCCCCGCGTTGGGTCTGCGCTTGCACGGGCAGCGAGGGCCGGTATCCCGGGAAAACGGGACTTGCAGCTTCGCCGCAGGAGCTGCTTAGCCGGGCAGACGGCTGGGAGCAGCCGGAGGAGGACGGAGACGGCGGGTAGGTCAGCGGGCCCGGGTGGGCTCCGCGGAGCAGCCCGGCGCTAATGGGCCATTGCTATTCAGGTCCCCGCGCCGCCCCGGCTCGCGCTCGTTAGAGCAGATCAGGCGCCGCAGCAGCAAATGAAGAGGAAAATTGAAGCAATGTCGTATTAAACATTTGTGATTTCATCTGCCCGAGCCGGGGAGCGTGGGGAGCCCACAGCGCGTGGAAGCTCTGGGACAGGACAGGCCCTCATCACCCTGCGCTCTGTGGAGATGGTGACGGTTCTCCTTAGCAAACAATCCGTTACCAATATTACTGTTTGAGGGGAAACAAAGGTTGCAAAGCTTAGCCCTGGGTCATCCATACAGTGACATCGGGCTGATTCCTGGGGCAGCTGCTGCGGAGCGCGCAGGGAAGCGGCCGAGCGTGGGGCCGCACGCCTGGTGGACGCGTTTCGGAGGCGCTCCAGCGTTGCAGGGCGGAAGCACCGCTTTGTTCCATGGGGAGTGACGAGGAGGAGCGAGCGGGGAGCGGGCCGGCTCCCGTCGGGGCCGGGGCGCTTGGACGCCTTCACCCCGCGCTCGGCAGGCGCTACCCATGGCAGTCGCTTCGACGGCCCGAACAGAGCGCTCTGGAGCGGCACTGCTCTCAGATAAACTTGAAAAGCCGCCGAGGTTGGGGCGCTGCTGTGCACGTCCTAGAGATTGCCTTAGGAAGCGCTGCTTGTGCCCGAGTTTTCCTTTCCTGAAAGTCTCCAAGCTCTTTGGCTGGGGCTGCAGCCCTTTGATGTGTTAACTGCTGTCCTTCACACTCCTGGGATGAGGAATTGCTGCTACCTTAATCTCCAACTGTCAATAGCTCTGAAGCAAAGTACATTCCGTGTAAGCTCTCCAAATGTCAGAGCGGCCGCTGTGTGCTCAGCCTCCGCGCTGGCATTTACTCTGCCGGCCGCGACGCGCGCGCCGGCCCCGGGCCCGCTCCCAGCGCGCGGCCGTCGCGGGCAGGGAAACATCCCGTGGGTTTGCGCGGCGATGGGGAATCTGCTCTTTCACTGCATGCTGTAAAAGTGAGTTCCACCGGGTAATTTAGCATTGCATTTAAAAGCAAGCAAAAATAAATAAATTACTAATCTTCAACCTTCTCTTTCTCTCTCTTTTATTTTCTGTAATCAGGTTACCCAAATTTTGTTGCAACATATGGCCGAGGATACCCTGGATTTGCCCCCAGTTACAGCTATCAGTTCCCAGGTATGTACATGTCATTTGCAGATTTAATTCCCCCACTTCTCCTTTATTTTTTCCCTTTTTTAAAAAGAAAAGGCGTAAATGCAAGTTGAGACAGGAAAGTCTGCAGGGAGCCTCTCACACAACAACTAATTTTTTGGCTATTCAAAAAAATGATATACATATTCTTAATACATTTTTAATAATGTGTAAATTGGTACTGGTTATTTGAAAACAATGTTTTTAAATAAAAGCGTAAAGCAACAGAAATAACTGAAGCGCTGTTACCCTCCCTTTCATGGGCTTTTCCTCGTGTATCTGTCCGTATGGCAGGTAGGTATACGTGCGCCCAGGCACACGCATGCACACCGGGCCTGCACGCACGCTCGCGCGTTACTTCTGGCGAGTTTATATTCCTTAGGAGAGCAGTTCTGGGGCGGAAGGTGCAGCAGCCCTGTTTTGTGCAGCTGTCTCCGGTGTCCTGCAGCGCAGGCGGCTCCGGCAGCGTGCCGGTCTCCGGGT